TTGTATCTATGAAACACAGTAATTTTCTTCTCTCGCCAAGTATACCACGTGTGAAGGAGGAGGTGGAGGTGGAGGTCGAGCCCACCTGTGACCGGGTGTAAAAACCTTAGGAGTCAACTTTAGTGTGCAGATTTTTTCAGTGTTGTCACAACCCTAGTGTACAGTACATAACCCTGTGCAGCTTAAAGAACCCACGAATAGGTTGGTAGATGACCAGATGTTGGCCACATGAATACGTGCAAACATCTAGTTGTGGAATACAACAACGTGCAGTAAACTTGGACAAAATGCTGTGGCTATGTGTCCATGTCCACCCAGCTGTGAATGGGTACCTCGTAAGGATGGGTACGCCTAGTAGGCAGCAAGAGTTGTATGGTCCTCAGGGAGTTGAGATTGAAAGCTGATACACAAGTACGAGTAATGTGCCACGATTAACAGCTGAAGGGAGAGAAAGAACCATTGGGATGGTGCAGATGGGTCGACATACAATGTTGTTGCCAACGCCCTAGGATGCCACCGTATCACGGTTATAAGATTTATTAAGGGCTTTAGATAGACTGGGGTCACCGTAGACAGACCAAGAAGTGAACGTCCACGCATCACAACGCCAGCTGAAGATAGGCACCTCCGTCATTAAGGAAGAAGGGTAACGTTTCTTTTGGCGTTTAGTGTATAATGTAACAAAGCTCCAACATTCCATGATTCTTGACCTGTATCAACAATATGGTGAAACGACGCTCATAAATGGGTAATAAAGCACATTATTCACCTTAATATTTACTTCTAGTGTTGCTGCTTGTTGACGATTGGTATTAGGGACATATATAAATGAGTGAAGGTCGTTCGATTGCTATTACCAGTCTGTTGTCCAGTTAACGATCCTCTAATGACGATATCTCAAAACTTTGTAAACACACTGAGAGGATATCGATTCATCTTGTCCGCACATAAAACATTACAGACGAATAGATCTCCTTGATCCTTGATCTCGATAGATCAAAGATCGCCTTGCTGTGGCGTCTACACTCATGTGAGTGATATAGCTTTTAATAATAAGAAAAAAAAAGAAAAAAAAGTATACGTTGTATCGAATACCTGTACAAGTTTTTTATCTCTACCGTGAGTTATATGTTGTATTCGCCATAGCTTTTGACGGGAATAACTAAATTCTAGATCAACATACTATTGCAACCTGTCGTTGCAATATGTTTTTCGGCAGTAAATTGTTATGACCTTAGCCAATGATCTTGACGAAATAAAACATGTTGGTAGAAAAAAAAATAAATAATAATAATAAATTCTGACATATGGATTAGTGAATGTATGGCAGTAATGTTATGCCAACGATTTCTCACTCATGACATTAAAATCCGCCACGATTTCTCACAAAAATCAGTGAGACAAATACTTTATATGAGTCTCTAATGGCGCTTTGATTGCGTCTGCCCCAATCCGACTGCAACACCTGGGCAAATTCAATTAACATAGTCGACTACCTATGACGTTGGTTCGCATGTCTCCATGTAGCCATGTTCTTCCAGACGTGTTGGGAAAGGTCTTGCTCGCAATGGCGTTGATGTCTCCCTGTCGGTATCTTGGGAAATGTCTTGGTTAATTGCTCGCAATGGCGTTGTACGGATGATGTGCTGTTGGAGGTGAGCATTGACGATTTGCACAGTCAGTGTCGTGTATAAAGACTCAACGTTGACCATGCCATGCAAACAGGACGACAAGATGCCAATGCTGTCCAGTGACCCTTCCTTACACATCATGGAGTAGTGTTCAGTCAAAGTGAGGCCACGCTACACCATTACCGATCCACCACCAAGTCGACCTTGAGGTCTCAGGATGGCAATTCGACCACTCAGATCAAAGAAGAGGAAAGATCATCTTGACTGCAGGTGGATGTTTTGAAAGTTGGCGTCTGTTGGCAATATGGTGATTTGTAAGGGGCGTTCCCTTGAAACACGGAGTTGAGCTGCATGTAGACCATATCCAATCGCCTCACTCCACGAGCTCGATGAAAGTCTGCAGCAATTTGGATCGTCGTCGGAGGTCCATTTTGTAGAGTCTGGTTTTGGATGAATCGACTTTGTGCTCTTGTCGTAGATCAGAGACGAAATGAATGGGGTCGACTTCAACACTGTGGTTTTGTCGGTACCTGGTTCATAGTTTGCTAATAGCACACTGTGTAACCATGAACATGCTCAGAAATCCAGACGAAACGTCGTTTGTTCAACAGAAACAAATAATGTAATCAAGTAAAATAACAACAGACGATAATCAGAGTGATTACGAATGGTACAAATAATGAGACTAGTTGACCTTTCTTGAACGTGTCAAAATCAGGAATAGTACCGTACGACGGTGTGGTGCTGAGTGAGTGAGTTAGTGGTTGGGTGGTTGGGTGGTTGGGTGGATGGATGAGTGGGTGACTGAGTGAGTGACGGAGTGAGTATAGTTTTACGCCGCTTCTAGCAATATTACAGCAATATCACGGCGGGAGACACCAGAAATGGGCTTCACACATTGTATCCATGTGGGGAATCGAACCCGGGTCTTCGGCGTGACGAACGAACGCTTTAACCACTAGGCTACCCCACCGCCCCTCATGCTTTAGAACTTGACCAAGGTTGAGAGGGTTTCTTTGTGAAGGATTTGGGGGTTTTCTTTCAGAGTAGCACAAGCATCCAGTGTCATGTTTATAGATGTGCTTGTGTACCTATCGCCAAGGTTACCGGAGTATTTTGAGCAAGATAGCTGTATTGGCCTTTTCAACGGTTAGCGAGAATGTCAATAGATCGAAAAGATCGAAATCTTTCTTTCAAACATGTGTTTAGTAAGATTACGCTGCTATGTGTTCGATTAGAAGTCTGACAATTGATGCCAGTGGTTTGATAAACAAGCGCTAACGACGAACGGCTACCAGGGACATACAATCCTTATCTGAAGATGCTGAGTCAATAATGAATCATACGACTTTATAGATAACAACTTCTTGTTTAGTGCACTTTCCGGAAACGTCGTTCTATGCAATAAACGAAAAGAGCCTGCTTCCAACCAGTATATTGTTAGGGCTGTATATGTATTGTCATTTTCGGGTTTCATGGAAGAAACACGTATTTGTGGTTGGTGTTTCAAAACGAAATTCATGATATTGATTGTTGTATAGTTAATGTTAGAGAAGTAGATGAGTGTGTCTTAACACCACGGTTTTATGACGTGTTTTCTCTCAACAAGATGACTTATAGTCAATAGTCAACCTTTCCTTTATGCCCAGCAATATGCTTGCAGCTTCAGCCAAATTCCAGTCGATGAAATTCCTTATCTTGACTTGTATGTTCCCATGTTTGTATTTGGGCGTGTGTGAACAATTGACCCGCCTTTGCATGTGTTTGGTTCGGGTACCATCTGTGGGAACACCTGGTATGGTCACTATTTGATAGTTATTGATCAACACATCCTCATGATATTGTCGCACTATGTACAATATGATATGATATGATATGATATAATGTAATGTAATGTAATGTAATGTAATGTAATGTAATGTAATGTAATGTAACGTAACGTAACGTAACGTAACGTAACGTAATGTAATGTAATGTAATGTAATGTAATGTAACGTAACGTAACGTAATATAATATATACCATTCTCTTTTATTTATGTATATCTATTTTTGGGGTTCTTATCGATCACTCTGCTCGCTGGTACAACAGTCTCAAACTTCAGTTCATAAGTAAAAGATTGTCTAATAAACAGTACATGGATCATGTTCAATACACAAGACAGAACACAAAGTTATTCTCTCTCATAGTATGACTCATCTCGTGTGGTTTTGATGATTGAAACGAAAATTTGCCCCGGGCGTTTGTGTTTTTATTAACGTGTTAAGTGTTTCCATTATCAAAAAATGATTTTAAACTTCGATGCAGTCCTTTTGTGCAAAAAAATTAATATGTTCAATTTTGTCTTGCCAGTCTTGAACACATTTGTTAGGTTTGTGTAAATTGCTATGTGTGGTAGTTTCTATGTATTCAATGTCATTGGGTGCTATGTACCGGCATTATTGTAGGCAAATAACCTCGCCAGTTTATCATTTATATCACTGGTGGACAAAATAAACAAGGAGGGGTCAACAACTGATCCCTGTAGTACACCAGCTGTTAGCACTTAAATCTCAGATAATATGCCTTTCAGAAAGACTGAGTGTTTGCGAACTGTATTGTAATCAGCCAGCCACTCTGGTAATAAAAATCGTTTATTCCATATCATTTCAATGCATATATCAGCCCGCAATATATCTCTTTCAAACATTATCCGAAATATCGCAGAGTATCATACAATATAACTCTTTTTATCGATTGCTTTGCACTCTGGATAATATATTTCCACAAGCTGGTTTATGGTAGAGTAGCCGGTATGGAATTCCCACTGGTATTTGTACGGTAGATAATTCTCATGAAAATAATTGTGAAAGTGTTTGTTGTTCCAGGACTTTCATGAAAAGATATTCATCACAATTATATATAGGTAACTGGGCTTTCGCTTTTATATAGTTGCGGTTATATGGAATACATTATGTTAAGCCTGTACTAAACAATGTAACTCGCACAATAACAATGTGACAATCAGGGCACCGTTAAATAAGGCAAAATATAATAAGAAAATATAAACAGCTGAAACTTCTTGTGACTGTAACCAAGAGATCGTATTATTATATTGTTTGTTGGTTGGCTGGCTGGTTGATTAACGCCGGAATATTCCAGCTATATGGCGGCGGTCTGTAAATAATCGTGTTTGGACCAGACAATCCAGAGTTCAACAGCATGATACGTTGGGATACGATGACATATGTCAACCAAGTCAGCGAGCCTGACCACCCGATCCCGTTAGTCGCCTCTTACAAGCTTGGGTTGCTGAAGGCCAATTCTAGCCCGGATCTTTTGTACTATTATTATATATCTGTCGGGCAAAGTGTATATAAATATACTGTACCATTCTTATAGGTATTGATAATCTCCACCATAACGCTGTTTTTATTAACTGTCTCCACTTGCATCAAACGTCCGCCATCTTCCCGGCATGCAGCGTTGGCGTTATCCCATTTTGTGGCATCTCCGTACCTGAAGCAGGTGGACCCGTCACTGGACCACTCGTAGTCGTATACGGTGGGGCAGAAATCTGACAACAGAAGATTGAGTATTTACGTCACTTTTCCAAATATTCAAGGCCTATCTCGATTGAACTTCTCTAACATGTGGGGAATCGAACCCCGGACTTGTGTGAGCAGCCAACTCTAACCACTACGTTACCCTATCACCGTATCAGAAGTGAGTGAGTGAGTTCAGTTTTACGCAGCTTTTAGCACTATTCCAGCAATATGGGCTTCACCAGAAATGGGCATCACACATCGTACCCTTGTGGGGAATCGAACCCTGGTCTTCAGTGTGACGAGCGGACGCTTTAACAATCAGGCTACCTCACCAAAAGAAGAAGGGAATAGGTGTTCAGATATAACATAAAGCAAGATCTGTTAATAAATAAATTCTTCTGCTTTTCAAGTTCTGTTAACCAAAAATACTTATCTTCTTTTTCTGAAATATCCTGAACAAACACAACACAAAGGTCATATTCTTTATGCTTCATAATATGGTAGGGAACGAAACCCAGTTGCTTGTTATATCTATTGAAACCATACCTTTTGAATATCTTAATATGGAAGAGGTCACTGTACACCACCTAAGAAGTCTACTGTGAAGGTGAGAATGGTAAGAATGGCTTAGGGAAAAGCTCCAGGTACATGCCGTTAAACGGATACTGCGAATGTAATGTTCAATGGGAAAGAATTAATTACGGAAAAGGTCATCGTACGTGAGATGACGTTAGACATACACTGTTAAAGTAACATATATTCGAGAGAATGACTTACGGAAAAGGTCCTCGTACATGGCGTTAGACATACACTGTTAAAGTAACATATATTCGAAAGAATGACTTACGGAAACGGTCCTCGTACATGACGTTATACGTACACTGTGAACGTGATAATGGGAGAGAATGACTTACGGAAAAGGTCCTCGTACATGACGTTAGACGTACACTGTGAACGTGACAATTGGAGAGAATGACTTACGGAAAAGGTCCTCGTATATGACGTTAGACGTACACTGTGAACGTGACAATTGGAGAGAATGACTTACGGAAAAGGTCCTCGTACATGGCGTTTGACGTACACTGTTAAAGTGACAACTGGAAAGAATGACTTACGGAAAAGGTCCTCGTACATGACGTTAGACGTACACTGTGAACGTGACAATTGGAGAGAATGACTTACGGAAAAGGTCCTCGTACATGGCGTTTGACGTACACTGTTAAAGTGACATCTGGAAAGAATGACTTACAGAAAAGGTCCTCGTACATGACATTAGCATTCTAAGCTGAACATGAGTAGGGAAAGAATGACTTGTGGAAAGGCCACTGTCCATGGCAACAGAAATCTATTGCCAATGTAACAAGGGGGAGAATGCCTAAAGGAGGTCATGTTACATGGCGTTAGACGTCTACTCTGAAGGGGAAGAATGTTTGTACGAAGAAAATCACCGTGCTGAGAGGTCTCTGTTACATGTAGCTTTAAACAACGTTAAAATTCCAACTATGAGAAATACTTCCTGTCATTTCTTAAGTACCTATGTACGTGAACCAGTTGTCTAAAGCTACGCAGTTCGATGCATCCTTTGGGAAAATAAACACTGTGTGTTCGAATCCCGGTTGGTTCATATCATGTTTTAGGTTTATCTGCACCAGGTTTCATTGTACATTGTGTGAACATGCTCACCTAGTTTCCTGTGGTAGAACGTGGTCCCGGCCTGCAGTGAAAAGCCAGCTCCTCCACTCTGGTACTGTTTCTGGGTCAGGAAACACTTCTTCTCAATTTTGTCGTAGAATGCAGCCAAGCATCCCATATCTTGAATACAATGCAGTAAACATGCGGACAGTGAGCCCACGTCAGTTATAGGTGCCAACCCATTCAACATCAAGTTTGTAAAGGCAAGGGTAAACGAAGCCGAGCGTACGCCAGCAGTGGGACCAACCATGTCTCTGCTGCTGTCGAGTTCCAAAGCCTTGGAAAGCTGAACGCATTAAGTAATACTATTGTCCAGTGATCGGTATTTGTGATCAGCCAATATTAATGTGAGTGCTATACTGGAGTATCTTTGGTGTGGGTTATATACTGATCAAGGATGTAATGATTTTCCAACAATGGGTATTTAAATAAATGACACTCGACGCGCGTCTGAAATCAATCGTTACAAGTGAGGAATCGATCAACGATGATGGTCAGCGGTAGAACAATTCTTGGATAGCTGAAAGCCGGAAGTCATATGGCAGCTATTTTAGTGTGAATGAGTGGGTATAGTGTATGACTGCTTTGGACTTTCAATTACATTAACCTCCTGACAGCCTGAGGGGCGGTGGGGTAGCCTAATGGTTAAAGCGTTGGCTCGAGACGCCGAAGACCCGGGTTCGAATCCCCACATGGGCACAATGTGTGAAGCCCATTTCTGGTGTCCCCCGCCGTGATGTTGCTGGAATATTGCTAAAAGCGGCGTAAAACCAAACTCAGTCAGTCAGTCTTGACAGCCTGAAGTGATGCATGTCTTAGACGTTCACCTCCTCGTATGGTGCTGAAAAAGCCAGGAAACATAAACAGGGTCAATCTTGCATTCGAATCCATAATCACAGGTTCTGTGATAGAATGGTTGGTTGGTTTACTGCTTAACGCCGCACTCAGCAATATTCCAGCTGTATGGCGGCGGTCTGTAAATAATCGAGTCGGGACCAGACAATCCAGCGATCAACGACATGACCATCGTTCTACGAAATTTGGATACGGTGACATATGTCAACCCAGTCAGCGAGTCTGACCAGCTGATCCCGTTAGTCGCATCTTACAAGCTTGGGTTGCTGAATGCTGAAGGCCAATTTTAGCCCGGATCTTGTGTACTATCATTACATATCTGTCGGGCAAAGTGTATCATAAATATACTGTACCATTCATGGGTTACTGAAGACTAATTCACGGTCTGGTGTGCATAAGGAGGAAATCTTTGCACATCTATTTTCGACACCTTATACGACAGGCTGATGTGTGCACCCGGTACTCGTGTCGGTGAAGTAAGACCCAGAAAGTAACATGACTACCAGAAAATTACTGAAAAGACAAGAAGGTTTGCGCGAAAATCAAACAGCTGTCATTGTTTACATTCCGCAAAATTCTCGAGTCTCAAAATTGTTTGATTAACATTTTCCTTCTCTGAAAGTAACGATTCTCGTTACTATTTGCTAATATCGATAAAAATTTAAACCACCCGTCTGATTTGTTTTGTAAATATCTGGCATATCGCCCAGTAGTGAAGGCCGGCCGCCATTGTGCAGTCCTTGCCTGGGTCAGTGAAGCGCCAGCGCAGCACATCCCGGAACCAGTCTGGTTACAGCACGAGCTTAAAACAGCACCAGGTGGGGACTGCAGCAGGTAATCGGATAAGCATGAGATTGATAACGTGTTTAGAAGAGTTCCACGCAGTCATGCAACGAGACTTTCTAACCTTCTAACATGTACTGAAGGTTTGTCCTCGAAATCCGAATAGTTACCGTATTTTGTGCAATTATATGTATAAAGTGTGTTACATTGTACGCCTGTTAAATAAACGTCAGTGCAAATGAATACCCATTCTTGACTCTCCTCAAAAACAGATTTTGTGAGTGAGTGAGTGAGTGAGCTTAGTTTTACGCCGCACTCAGCAATATATGGATTGTCAACTTCTGTATTGCAATGAATGCGGTGGTTTACTTTATTGCGCATATTGCTCTAAATATTTGTTTATGTGTTTGTCTGTTGCTGACAGCCGCACTTGCAAATATTCCTTCTTCACAGTTGTCTGTTTCTTGGGTTGTTATTTAACGCCGCACTCAGCAATATTCCAGCTATATGACGGCAGTCTGTAAATAATCGAGTCTGGACCAGACAATCAAGTTATCAACATCATGAGCATCGATCTGCGCAATTGGGAATCGATTATATGTGTCAACCAAGTCAGCGAGCCTGACCACCCGACATGCATGGGTTACTGGAGATCAATATCCTAACCCGGACCTCCACGGGTAACAGATTTTGTACGGTAAAAAAGGTAAAAAGATATGAATGGATCACTGAACATCACCGATGACACCAGGTGTTCGCGAAAAGAGTAAGCATGTCCTGCCGGCAGAACCCACTCTTACATAAACATGACATTATTCATTCCATTGTCATCAGAAATATCTTCCAATTGTCAGTTGTACGCTTCAAACATGAACACGTATTGAACAGTCACTAGTAAACAGTGTTAACTGAAGAGAAGGAAACCCACAGTGACCAACCCATCACAAACACGTGCAAAGGCAAGTCAATTGTTTATCAGTAGAAAATACAGGAATATAACGGTACAAATCAAGCTACAAGCTGCAAGAAGAGGAACAAATTTTATGGATTGACACCATTTTTATTGCACTAGATCCGAGGGTTTCGGTGTCGATGTTAACACCGTTATCAAGTAGGTGTAGATGCTGACACCGTTATCAAGCAGGTGTAGATGCTAACACCGTTATCAAGCAGGTGTAGATGCTAAGATGCGCCGTTGTCAAGCAGGTGTAGATGCTGACACCGTTATCAAGTAGGTGTAGATGCTCACACCGTTATCAAGCAGGTGTAGATGCTGACGCCGTTATCAAGCAGTGATAGATGTAGATGCTGACACCGTTATCAAGCAGTAAGTGTAGATGCTGACACCGTTATCAAGTAGGTGAGGTGTAGATGCTGACACACCGTTACCAAGCAGGTGTAGATGTTAACACCGTTATCAAGCAGGTGTAGATGCTCACACCGTTATCAAGCAGGTGTAGATGCTGACACCGTTATCATGCAGGTGTAGATGCTAACACCGTTATCAAGCAGGTGTAGATGCTGACACCGTTATCAAGCAGCAGGTGTAGATGCTGACACCGTTATCAAGCAGGTGTAAAGCAGGTGTAGATGCTGACACCGTTATCAAGCAGGTGTAGATGCTAACACCGTTATCAAGCAGGTGTAGATGCTGACACCGTTATCAAGCAGGTGTAGATGCTGACACCGTTATCAAGCAGGTGTAGATGCTGACACCGTTATCAAGCAGGTGTAGATGCTAACGCCGTTATCAAGCAGGTGTAGATGCTGACACCGTTATCAAGCAGGTGTAGCAGGTGCACGATCAAGTGTAGATGCTGACACCGTTATCAAAGCAGGTGTAGATGCAGGTGTAGATGCTCACACCGTTATCAAGCAGGTGTAGATGCTGACACCGTTATCAAGCAGGTGTAGATGCTGACACCGTTATCAAGCAGGTGTAGATGCTCACACCGTTATCAAGCAGGTGTAGATGCTGACACCGTTATCAAGCAGGTGTAGATGCTGACGCCGTTATCAAGCAAGTATAGATACTAACACCGTTATCAAGTAGGTGTAGGTGCAGACACCGTTATCAAGCAGGTGTAGATGCTAACACCGTTATCAAGCAGGTGTAGATGCTGACACCGTTATCATGCAGGTGTAGATGCTGACGCGTTATTAAGCTATCAAGCATCAAGCAGGTGTAGATGCTGACATCGTTATCAAGCAGGTGTAGATGCTGACACCGTTATCAAGCAGGTGTAGATGCTCACACCGTTATCAAGTAGGTGTAGATGCTCACACCGTTATCAAACAGGTGTAGATGCTCACACCGTTATCAACTAGTTCAGTAAATTGAAAATATGTAATTTGCATTTGCCGTACACTTCCTTTGTCATTCACCCGTTAGAATTGGTCTTCAGTAACCAATGTTCGTCGTAAGAGGCGACAAACGGGATTGGGTGGTCAGGCTCGCCGACTTAGTTAACACATGCCATCGTATCCCAGTTATGCTCATGATGTCGATCACTGGATTGTCTGGTCCAGACTTGATTATTTACTGACCGTCGCCATATAGGTAGAATATTGCTGAGTGCGGTATTAAACGACCAACCAACCAACCTTTGCCATACATGGAACACAATGTTGATAAATTATTAAAAGTGTTAAGGCTTTAAGGGAGAATTTCCTCAGACAAAATCTTTCATTTTCACCAGCCATGAATTGAAAATTATTTTTACTGAAAGGATAAAATAAAATTTTAAACCATCAATAACCACGCTTTGAATTTGTGCATGAGTGAGTGAGTGAGTGAGTTTAGTTTTACGCCGCACTCAGCAATATTCCAGCTATATGGCGGCGGTCTGTAAATAATCGAGTCTGGACCAGACAATCCAGTGATCAACAGCATGAGCATCGATCTGCGCAATTGGGAACCGATGACATGTGTCAACCAAGTCAGCGAGTCTGACCACCCGATCCCGTTAGTCGCTTTTTACGACAAGCATAGTCGCCTTTTATGACAAGAATGGGTTGCTGAAGTCGTATTCTACCCCGGATCTTCACGGGTCTTGAATTTGTGATATCTATAGTTCGATTAATTGCTGTGTAATAATATATCGTTTTGTTGATAATATTCTAAATATTGAATTTGTAATATGAATAAATGTGCATGTTTTTTTGGGGGTGTACCGTTTTTGTGTTATAGATAAATAAATGATTGATGAAATAAATATGGAATAATTACACGACCATCATCAGCTTTAGTGATGCCATTCAAACAACACGCCGCTATCCCATGATGGGATATCGATATCACCGTGGGGAACACCAGAAATGGGCCTAATACATTGTACCAATGTAAGGAATCGGACCCGGGTTTTCGGCAGAACGAGCGAACGCTTTAACCACTGGGCTACCCAACCGCCCCAGTGGCTCTTGGTATATTTCCAATCGCCTCACACCAAAATATGTTAAAATATGGAACTTGTTCTTACCCTGCCTGGCGAGAGGGGATAAAACCGGGACTGATCAGTATCTGTTTCAGAGTTGGGGATATTGCACAATTAAACCGACAAATGTTCGGACTAGTACAAACAGTGTGCGAAATAGTTTCCTAATTTTGCTAGCCAGTCAAGCTAGTTATGCCTGAAAGTTACAGGCCCACAAAATAATTCACTAGCCCAAAATGTGGGTGTAGAAACTAAGCAAAAGATTACAAAAAGTAAAATACCATCATTCTTGAAGCCATAATCATGCATGATTTAAAGGTGTATTATAACTTAACTAGAGAGTGATATTTTTAAAGAATAACCCCTTGAAAATCCATTAGCCACTCGGATATACAGGCTTGTGGGCCAGTGGCTATTTCGCACACTGAGTACAAAGCCACGCACACATACACACGTGTATGCAAGTGGTTATACAAGTGCAACATATGCTATATTTAGGATTACACTTTCTTAGTAAAGTAGAGATTCTAGTACTTTTTGGGTTGAGTCCCATCCGGGATTCCAACCCACACCCTCAGAGACAGGCACCTAATCGCCAGCACACAAAGTCAGACGCCCAGACCGCTCAGCCACCGCGGCTTCAACAAAATGGAAGTCGGACAACTGGTAGTCTAGACTGCGGATTTTGTGTACTCTCTGACAAAGTGAGTGAGTGAGTGAGTTTTGGTTTTACGCCGCTTTTAGCAATATTCCAGCAATATCACGAGGGGGACACCAGAAATGGGCTTAACACATTGTACCCATGTGGGGAATCGAACCCGGGTCTTCGGCGTGACGAGCGAACGCCTTAACCACTAGGCTACCCCACCGCCCCCCTCTGACAAAGAAAGTGTAATCCCAAATATAACATATGTTGCATTTGACCACTTTCTAATATGGCATTGTGTATTTCGTTATACAAGTGCAGTAATCATGAGTTTGAAATTAATCCCGTAGCCTGTCAGCTTCACACAATACTTGAATTGTCAGTTTTGAATTTACTCTGAAAATCGGCACGGCTTGCTATGAATCATAATACAATTTACATATAATTCTTCCTTATCCACGTACCTCCAAATACACTGGGGAAGTTGGGTAGGCTAGCTTGTGGTTAAATGTGTGAAGCCCTTTTCTGGTGTCCCTCGCCGTGATATTGCTGAGATATTGGTAAAAGCGGGGTAAAACTAAACTAAACTCACTCACTCGTGTTTGCTCGTCAATTGATGCTCATGTTGTTGATCACTGGGTTCTGATCAAGACTCGATTATTTACAGACCGCCACTATATACCTGCAATATTGCTGAGAGCGACGTTCTCATACAAACAGACATGCTAGGACCAGCTGGGCATTCGTTCGAGTCGCAGATTCGACCTAATTACGAACCTTTGTCTGCCATCAGTGTGTGAAATAGCCACTGGCCCGTTAGCCCGTGGTTAGTAAAAATCCAGGCGGGCCAGTAACTGAGTAAGTCTCTATAAAGTCATATCACTCTCTCCGACTTGTTAAGTTATCACACACTTATAAAATGATAAAAATGTTCATCATAATAGCAGCTTAATGATGAAACCCGTGTCTTCATTCAAATTTCGGATTAGTGAATTATTTTGTGGGCTAGTAAGTTTCAGGCATAGCTAGCTCGACTGGCTAGCAAAATTTGGAACTGTTTTGCACACTGTCTGCCACCCTCATGTCTTTGGGTTCTACTGACTGGACCGCCTCCGTGGTGTAGTGGTTAGAGCGTCCGCCCGGAGAGCGGAAGGTCGCGGGTTCGATCCCAGACCGCGTCATACCAAACTACGCTAAAATATGGTACTTGTTGGTCCCTGCCTGGCGCTCGGTATTAATGGGTACAACAAGGAATGGTCGGCTCGGAGTCAGTATAATGTGTCTGAGTGGGTATTCATGCTTCACTGCGGCATGGTATCTCAGTGACCTAGCACTATAAAACCAGCTTAAGTCTGGGCTATTGCAAGCATCCGCACATACACATACACACGCATGCACGTGGTCATATTAGCGAAATAGTCTCAAGCACGAGATTAAACCCAACTTTACCTCACCTCACCTTTCTACTGACTGGGATTCCGTGCAGAACTGGCATTACCTTCGTGTTACGTCCCTTGACATTGCTAGGATAAGCTCATGGGCGGATCCAGAAGGGGATGCTGGACTTTGGACTTCATGTCTTACGTGCACTCCCCGCCACTCGCACCCCACCCCCCAATCCTGGATCCGCCCTGAAGCTGGTATACATCATTACATCGATTAATCATCATTACATGGTATTTTCTTATCATTATAAATAATAAATTATTCACGTAAATATTGTATTTGTAGAAATACTCATTCAGGTAAAAGTGGTATAATATAGTTTCAATCTTTCTCAATTGAATAAGTTGTCAATATATGCTGTGATGTACAGAGTATTAGTTAAATTTATTAATACGCCAGAAAGTGCAAATATTAATACGTATTCATGCGTATGAGTCTGAAAACATGATTAATGGCGATTTATTATCTGGTAGTATTTTGTCTGTGCAGAGAACCAGACAATATGATAACTCCAAAATATGTAACCCAGGGATCAAAATGATATGTTTTAAAAAACGCCGAGATCACCAGTGAGTGAATTTTATCCAATCAGATCACACGCCGCCGATTTGCTGCTGAGCTGTGACATTCGCTGCGAGGTGTTCCATGGAAGAAGACGACGGAATCTGTCAACTTTCTCTGTCGTGATCACCTGCTGAAATTTAACAATGCCGTCCGAAGAGCAAAGCGAGGCCAGTAAGGCAGCTGATGACGATGGCCAAAAGCTCAAAGAACTGTTTAAAAAGCTAGATGTGAACCAAGACGGTCGCATTGACATAGACGATTTGACTAGTGCATTGGATACGATGAATGTGCCGCAAGTCCCAGATCATGCACAGGTTGGCATATTGACAGTGTCGCTGTGTTGTCAGTCTATGGCAAGGTCATACATAGGTCGGCTGTCATAGGTAGCGTAATTCCATGCATACGGAGCAACACTTGCGTTACGCTTCATTGAAAATTCATTTTAACACAGTGGTCGCAATTCAACTTCTACACCGCCATGCTAGTCCCAGAACGCGTAGCCTGGTCACAAGGTGTATCCTCACAAAATATATTACTCCACAGAATATATGAAACCACAGCTCCAATATATCACATGTATTTCCTAACCCACGTCCACTACTAATCCAGATGCACTGAACCATGAAAGAAAAATTTGCGCATATTAACCAGCCACCTCTACCCAGATATCACTATGTTATAAATCTTAAAGGGTGGGGAATTTCTGGCTTTTCGGGTGTGTTTATTTCATGTTAGTAATGGGCTAGTTTCTAACTCTCTAAAACTTATTGATAAATTTCATGCAAGGCCAGAATTTGTTTAGACATGTTTATAGACCTTTTTCTGTTAATTAGTCATACTCAAAGGTGGAGGCGTTTTGATTGATGAATGAGTATAAATACTTGATCACTTGCTTATGTATAGCTGCACTAACCATATCTTAGTACTATTCCCTATAAACAATTTGTTGACTTGTCGTCACACAGAGTTGTGGACTGTCCTGTTGTGTTTTCCTATATTTTTGGTGCAAGACATTCAGCATAAGCAAACTTGCCATAATTCCATAAAATCACATTTCACTTCTAGAAGCACTTCCCTACAAATTTGGGAAAGATTTCCCCGTAACCCCCGTATGTTTTTTAATCATTATATGCCTAAGAATATACGCCTATGTTGTTTTATAAACAGCCTATACCTAACCCTAAACCTAACCCTCAAACCTAACCTTCAAACCTAACCCTAAACCCTCGAAACAATCCTAATAGATAGAATACATTTCAAGCGGGGGTAAGGGGCGGAACTCTCACCCAAATTTGTGTTCTTACATTTTCAATCATACAACCTTTTAAGTATTGATGGGGTTGGAATTTCCGATAGGGTACAGAATCTGGCTGTTAGTAATATCTGTTTGCATGATCTAAATGATAAGGGCTCATTTTTGAAGTTACATGTCAAAGAAATGCTGATCATGCATTTATCATTAGATCACTTTCCTGAAGCATGTAATGTGTGTTTGCATCAGGGAACTATAAGAAATCAGTGAAACGTCCTGCAGCTCTGTGTGGCAACAAATCAACAATTTCATGCAGCAGAGAGATATGGTTACTACAGCTTTTATATATAAACATATGTCTGCGACATATTAAACCTTACAAACTACAGCTACGATTAGTTGGCATCTGGAAGTGGCTTTTTAAAATTCATTACGTTACGTATCATGTCACAACCAACATAATGTCCTCTCAGATATTTCAATTGAAAATTTTTCATATACCTGTCCTGGGGCAAAAACTGTATGCTTTGGTAATACATGTCAAATGCTGGCTGTGAAAATAAAGGGTCATGTTTTCGAAATACAGGTAGAGAACCAATTTTACTTGTTTGACCTTGACTTCTGGTACTGAGGAACTGTTTTCATGGTTTTGTCAGGAAAACAAGTTTCACTGACAAGGAGGTATCATACTTCCATTTAATACAGTGTTCACGAATGGTGTTTCAAAGTAACAGGACATTGGGTCCTGTAAGTTTCAGATGTCTGTCCCACATGGGCACAATGTGTGAAGCCCATTTCTGGTGTTCCCCACGGGGATGATTATTGCCATTGAAAGATTCTGTCTGACATTGAAAATTCACAGGACCCATATAATAAAATTAAACACACATTACAGATTTAACATTTCTTATAACTGGCATTGAAATTATTAACAAACATACGATTTATAAACAATAAACAAGTGTCACTTGTCACATATAACAACTTCAGTCAAAGTCATTGTAAAATATACAGTCAGACACTGGGACCGGCGTGTTGTACAGTTCTATCGGACTGTTGGCGAATCTGCCGGATTTGTCAGAGGGTCAGGCACTATTCGTGAACACTGTTTAATACATGTATATTATCCTCATTTTTCTATAAGCCGGATGAATAATGACCCAGGCCTTTGTTTCCCTGTACAATGTCTCCTACAATTAACATCAGAGCGTAAAATTTAAGGTGTCAACTTTTGTAAGAAAACATTTTTCACATCGATCCTTGTCATGTCTATGAAAGAACATGAGTGAATTCCAATGTACAAAAAATGTCATATATGGACTTTGACCAAAGTGATATCAACTCACAGCGTTGTTTGGTTCAGTGCTATTTAGATGGACTTTGTCAACCCACTAGTAATGCTCATTAGGTTCACGTATGAAATACATGTGAAACACAATTCCTGAAAACTGTCGGTTTAGAATCAATACATTTGAACATGACAACATAACTCTTGCATGAAATTAAGTTCGCACAACCATAAAGCACCAACCACAAAGCTATCTATGACAGCTGTATAAATAGTGATAGGCCCGCAGCCAGGTAAAATCAGTACATATCCCCCCAGCAGATGTTTTGGACACACTTTCTTAATTTCATCGGTCATTTCATAGTTTTATCTAATTGCCATGATTATCATGGGTATATCACAGTAAAATTACCAGTGAGAATGTATTTGAAGAGTTCAGTATTTTAAAATGTCATTTTGCATCAACATGATTAAGTGGTTTCATTTGTTAAGATTTTGGTCTAACAATATTGAAACTGTAAATGGTAATGATGTTAAATGTGCAGGACGTTACATATTTTGACAGTAACATGATGTTGAAGTGTTTACTTTGTAGGGAGGGTAATTGTTTCATTATCTTCTTTATGAGACAAAACAATGAATCATTAATGATGATTTTGAAATGTTTTCCCATTGCACTGTATGTAGGTTTATCTTGAATTTTCTCGTGCAGCAACTGGTCAGATAAATACGAAATTTATGCATTGTTTAATTCATTCCCTGCCAGTGGTATTTGGCTCAAATTTGTGTTATTCGGTACCTGAAATATTAAAAAAGTGTTACCTTAATATCATCTAGGGGTCCAAGGTTGCATGTTTCATTGTGTTGTTGTATGTAATTTACATGTTGTTTATGAAACAGTCCCTTCTCTTTATACTCTCAACTTTCTTATTCCAATTTCATCATCTGTTCTTCTGTTTTGGTTGAATGGTTTTGGAGACAATTCGTATATTATTTTGTTTCCATTTTTTCAGAAGGAATATGCTCAGGTATATTTGTGACTAGTCAATGCTAACCGGCATAGTTATTTTCGTTGACTAATTCCCTATTATCATGGTGTTCTATGGTTAGACACTAGCCCAGCTTTTGGTATTAGTTAGAGCACTGTGCCTATCCACCTCTGCCTATTTGAATATATAAGATATAGCAGACAATGGTTCTATTAACATAATCTTATCTATATCCCTGTACCTCTTGGTAGAGATGCATATTGGTAGTGATGCACAATTGCAGTGGAAAGTTGCTGCACTTCAGACTCAGAGACCGATTGCACTAGGTGATTTAGTGCTCAAACTGTTCCTATTCTTCAACATAGATTTCCAACAGCTGTAGCACTGAGATCACGTTGTGCAAGTTGGCACTGTTCTGTATATATTGCATGGGTGTATTTATGTATATATATTTAGGTCTTGCATGAATTATATGTATCAACGCTATTTGATTTAATTCAGTCTGTGCCATCTGTTATATTTAAAAAACACATAAATAGATGATTTTGGGGTGGGGGGAGGCTTATGAATTAAATATAAACGGTCAGAAATCTCCCTTGAAAATTGGGCCGGTGGGGTAGCCTAGTGATTGAACATTAAAGCGTTCGCTTCATGCTGAATACCTGCGTTCGATTCCCCACATGGGTACAATGTGTGAAGCCCATTTCTGGTGTCCCCTGCCATGATATTGCTGGAATATTGCTAAAAGCGGTGTAAAACTATACTCACTCACTCTTGAGAACTGTTTGGAGCCATGAATGTGTTTTCTTCGGATTCTTTTGACAACTTGTTGATAGTCAGAAATTGAATGAATGATTGGGAATTAAGCTACAGGGAAGATGAAATGGTAAAGGGCCTGGTATATGTTTGAAAGAAGCAGCATGTGCATGAATGTCAGGGTAGTAGAACACACTGAATTTAGAACTAGCTGTTAACAATTATAGGGGTATGCTGGGGGGTAGCACTGGGGTAAGGCTTAGGCAAATTGGCAAATTTGATTCAAGTTATCTTAACATGAATTATGGTTGTCGCCAAACACATAGTTTACAAATGAATATCAAACTGTGTCTGATTCAAAATATTAAAGTAATATTTACTGATTACCATAATTGCTCGAATTAAACCAATTTCCATACCATTTTTCACATTTGTTTTCGATCTTAAAAGCCAAATTCAGAGTTCTCATATATTGAAATAAGCACTGGAGGCATGCGATTAACCATCATGAAAACTCATCAACAATATGGAAAAATGCACCGACAAAACTGTCTAGTCAGCATCCATCTCAATTAGCACGCACTTCTTGATACTAATCACTGGTAATAGGGTTCTATTAAAACTTGCTGTTAGCTTCTATATATAAACTAGCACTGTCCTCTTGTCCAGTGCACAGTGATAATCTATCATGTGCAGGGTTTCTAAAAATGTTGCCAAGATTCATGCATTTTGAATTCATTTTTGTCATTAAGAATGGTGTGAATTGTTTTTGGTGGTGTTAAGAATAAGATGATGCACAGATGTATTCAGGAATTTCAGGGTAGATATTTCATCGAAATGTAAAGGTAAATAGAATATCCTTTTGGCTAACATGTCTAGTAGATGTAGTTTGTGATATTGTGAAGCCAGATGCCCACGTCAGGTTAGCCTAGCAGCAGCGTATGCAACAGGCTTTGATAAAGTATGAGTTTTTTATATATATAAATTAATATCATGATAAAGGAGAAAATTATTCCTAGTTTGTTTGCAACTCCTATTTAGTCATATATGTCTGCCTGATTTAGATTTAGATGAATTATTTTTGGAAGCCCTGTATAATTTACTCATATTCTGTACTGTGTGGTGTGATTTGAAACCATATCGAATGTGCTGGTCCACTGACACAGGTAGGCTGATTGTCCATCAGGTCGTTGTTGTATAGATATAAGGTTGGATTTACTTCACCTCACGTGAAACTGATTTCAATGTAAATTTTTTTTCCCCTCTCTCCCCTGACATTGCTGCCACCCCATCCCACTCCCTGTAGTGGACCAGCACATATTGATATCTTCTACATGGATCAAGAAGTTGAGGTGATACAGATCTGAACAAGTATCTCATCAATTTTCTCCGTAGACTGATATGTGACAAACATGCCTATCAATATTATAATTATGACTGAGGTAGAATCAGTATATAGACATATTCTGCCATCTGCTGACATTTACCTAGGAAAGGGAAATATGGTACACATTGTAAGAAAAAACATGAATAACATAAACTGTAATGTAAAGTGGAACGTAAAGTGCAACATTTCCCAACCATTTATCATATAAACGATCCTTTGCTTGTGATTGGAAGGTTTACAGATTTTGAGTAGTTATATAACACAAAAGATTTATTTTCAGCGTAACCTTATGATTATGCTCATGAGATTTTAGCTTATCTTCAATGTGAGTTCTCATGATGTGTGGGTCTTCTAGTCTGTTGTACCGACCCTGAAATAAATATACCAAATACAGCTCATGCAGGTCTAGAATGTGGCAAGTCTAGATTACCACTGATTTTTTCTGAAAGTGAAAAAGACCTCAGCTCATGTTTCATGAATATAATTAAGGAACCATATTTTCTGTAAAATGTGTTCATTTGAGAAACCATATGTAAGTCGAAGGGTCTTATCTGTTGTACGTTGTAGGGGAGGTGTAGGGTGTTTCCATAACAGAACATACGTTTCCACTGAAAATTCTTTTTCAAAAACTCTTTTGACATGTTCCATTTTGAAAATTTAAAAATTCTGCGTCATGATAATGATATTGTTACATAATTTCAGAACTTGACCATTGAATATAATGCTGCATAAAACAAATTTATCAAGTATAAACAATATAGTGATGTAAAATATTTGAAGAAAATATATGATGAACACATAATAAAACACTTCATCAAAGGGAAAGGTTACAACATGAGCAAGAGTGTATGCTCAAATTGTTCACAGGAACATCTATTGTTAGTTTGGTTAATGCAAACAAATTCAGATGATACCAGCTTCAGACATGTTTGATGAAAAAGGTATTCTTTAAGATTAACCTCAGTCAGTTCAAGTAACACCATGTTGTAAGTCAGTCAGATGTTGAGTCAAACTTTGATGCGTCAAATTTACGATTGTATCAAAGTGTAAGCATGGTCCCTGCAATTTCCTTCTTCTTCATTCATTACTTTCAGTTGTGTTAAGGTCCCTTTGACACAACAGTGTTAGATAATACACCAAACAGGCAGATACAGGGTGTCAAATGGCTGACATGACAAACACAGTGAGAGAGGTTTCCAAAGTTTTACAGAAAACCATATAATTGTTAATCATCACTAATCAATTGGCTGATTATATATTTTCCTATAGATTACATAGTTTCCAATAGTTTGGTTGTACATTTATTTAATTTTCGTTTTGTTTACAAGTATGGGTCGTAGTAGAGATAGTTTCGAACAAGCACAAGGTTATGATCCATGACTTAACCCAGTGTGTGCTTAAACCCAAAGTTCAAGATGAAATCGTTGAAATTATCATTATGAGAAACAATGTTTTTGTATTTTTATTCAAGCTAGGGATTTTACAGGGGAAGTATGGAAGAAATCTGTCTGTTTACAGCCATTCAACTTTCAAGAATTCACTTTAAAAATACAAGAAAAATGTACTGATACAGAGGCCCAGATAAGCTGCGTATCCGGGTAAATTAGGCATAGAATTACGGATTGAAAAATAATTGTTGCGTACCAATTACGCATTTAAATTGTTAGATACGTAGAGAGTTTAAAACAAATGCGTACGGAATATATTTATAAAAATCGCTTGCTTAATGAAAAAGACATCGATTGCTATCAAGTTGTACTGTTAGTATAGGACAAGTGTTGTACTGTCAGTATAGGATGAGTGATTTTTTATGAAATCATTTCCGTTATATTTAAGTTAGTTTTGATTAGGTATGACATAAGGCAGAACATACCTGCTTAGTAAACTTACTCAATGGCATATACTTAGGTGAGTAAAATTACTGAAATACGCACATATTTGAAAGCAGTGGGTAACAGAAAAAGAAATACCCACTCAACATTCATAATACCCACTCCAAAAAAATACAGTGGGTACAGTACCCACATGAGCTAAATCTTATCTGGAGCTCTGCTGATATCAAAATGTGTCCTCCATACACCCAAGATCTCTTCTGCAGTCACGTGACAAACTTCTTCTTCTTAGGGCTGCAACGATTCAACCAGACCTTTGATTTGATTATTCATGATACATGTAAAAACATCAGATTTCATTTCACTCTCAGACTCAGCTATTTTAGCGTGAAATCCATCATCAACTTGGCGATGTCTACCAACGACAATTCTCATTGGATAATTTCCCCGGCGTCAACCAATCACGTTTCGCCTTATTTCAGTGCTCAAGACTGCTCGAGTTGGAGTCAAAATTACGTTCTGGCTGTATGGAAATAATTTACATAGATATTCAAATATCAAATCGAAATAGTGACAATGGTTATCAAAATGTAACCGGGTTGTGATGGGTATGAATGACGTCCAAACACAGGCTACGGGTGTGAGATTTTATTCGCAGGTAAGAGAGGTAACGACACCCCAGTGTCACCCACACACCCACAATTCTCCTGGGCAGCCGCCTCAATAGTACAGTGACAGTGTTAACCTTAAACAATGAAAATTCTCTGTTCCAATTAATCAAAGATCAGACCAGTCTGTAAATCAGTGTCTTGTCAAGTGCAAGATGGATGAAAAAGTGCACAGTTTAAACCAACCAATGAAAACAAGGTTGGGTAGAACAAAGAGGAGACAATGACTTAAACATGGACTAAGCTAAAACTCCTTTACCTTTATAGACTGCTCCAAAAGCATAGTAAGGAGAAGCTGAAAACTACTGTCCTAACAACATTAAAATACTAGAACATAAAACACCTGAATTAGATAAAACTATTCACAACAAACTATTCAGAACTGGTGTCTGCCAC